TTATCGTCAGCAAAATTCTGCTTGCATGTGATATTCATGATTTGTTGTTTGTTGTTGTTATGTGCCGTGGAGTCGGTTCTGATTCATAGAGACCCTGTATAAGGTTTCCAAGACTGTAAATCTTTACGGGAGCAGAAAGCCTCATCTTTCTCTTGCAGAACAGCTAGTAGTTTCTAACTGCTGAACCTGAGCTCCTTGATATTCATGATACTGTTTGAAAATTTCCATATTCCGTTGGATCACCTTTCTTTGGAATGAGCACAAATATAGATCTTCTTCCAGTCAGTTGGCCAGGTAAGCTGTGTAACAAATTTCTTGGCATAATTGAATGAATGCCTCCATTGCTGCATGAGTTTGCTGAAAGATTTCCATTTGTATTCCATCAATTTTGGAGCCTTGTTTTTCACCAATACTTTCAGTGTAGCTTGGACATCTTCCTTCATTTCCGTCAGTTCTTGATCAGATGCTATTTCTTGAAGTGGTTGAACATCGACCATTTCTTTTTGGTAGAGCAACTCTTTGTATATCTTCCATGTTCTATTGGTGTTTTTTGCATCATTCAATGTTTTTCCCATAGAATCCTTCAATATTGCATGTTGAATTTTTTCTTATTTCAGCTTGAGAAATGCTGAACGTGTTCTTCCCTTTTGGTTTTCTAACTCTAGGTCCTTTGCACATTTCATTATAACATTTTGTCTTCTTAAGCTCCCTTTAAAACCTTCTGTTCAGCTATTTGACTTCCTCATTTCTTCCAGTCACTTTAGCATCTCTGTGCCGGAAAGCAAGTTTCAGAGTCTCTTCAGACATCCATATTGTTTTTTTCTTTCCTGTCTTTTTAATGACTTTTTGCTTTCTTCCTATATGATGTTCTTGATGTCATCCCACAGCTCTTCTGGTCTGTGGTGGTCACCTGTTCTTGAGATGGTCTCTATATTCATCTGGGATGTTCAAGATCATATTTTGGCTCTCATGGACTTGTTTTAATTTTCTTCAGCTTTACCCTGAGGTTGCGTATGTGCAGCTGATGGCCTGTTCCAGTCTGTCCCTGGCCTTGTTTTGGCTGATGGTATTGAACCATTCCATTGTCTCTTCCCACGGATATTATCAATTTGATTCTTGTGTATCCTATCTGGTGAGGTCCATGATGTGTAAAAAAGTATTGTAAAGAATAACTCTTTGGTCTTTCAAAATTCTATCAGGTGGTCTCCTGAATCATTTCTGTAACCAAACTACTGGCCCTAGCCCCTTTGTTTCCAACATTTGCATTCCAATCATCAGTAATTATCAATACATCTGGATTGCATGTTTTACCAGTTTCAGACTGGAGAAGTTGATAGAATTTTTCAGTTTCATCTTGCCTTCCTTATAAAGGCATATGGATATTATCCTATTACAGACAGCGTTGTACTTCAGGATTTTAGCAATGTTCTTTTTGATGCTATTCCATTCCTCTTGAATTTGTTGTGCCCAGTGTAATAAACCAAATGATGGTCAGACTTAAAATAGCCAATACCATTCCATTTCAGCCTAGGATGAAGTCCTGCTGTGTGTGGTTCTGCAGGATAAACACTGGACGCAAGGTTGATTGGATCTGCAAAGTGACAGTTCATACTCACCAGCTACTCTTTGAAAACTGTATACAGGGACGCTGTGAATCAGAACTGACTTGACAACACTTAACAACATCAACCATTAGGATATTGAGCTTTATGTGTTCCACTTCATTTTTGACAGCTTTCTAGATTTCTACATACCATGTTCCAATTATTAATGGATGTTTGCAGCTGGTTCTCATTTTGAGTTGTGCCCCATCAGATAGTTCCTGAAAGCTTTACTCAGTTTGTATTATCACAGTCAAGTCTACTTTGAGGAGGCAGCTGTTGAGTCTTTTTTGTCTTTTGAATGCCTTCCAACCTGAGGGGCACTATATCTGACAGTGGTCCGCTGCTACTCTAGCTGACATTCAGCAGTAGTCTGCCTCTCTCGCTTCTTAGTCTGGAAGCTCCACTGAAATCAGTCCACCGTGGGTGACCCTACTGGTATTTAAAATATCCGTGGCATAGCCTCCCTGTTTAATATGTCAAACCTCTACTCTCCCAATCTCTTCTTTATTTTTTAACCAGTTCTGACTAAAGCCATCCTTCCCATTGTACTCTCTACTTCTTTTTCAGGTTCCAAAATCTATTGCAGTGATCACAGACAACTCACAAACTACTTCTAGTTTAGTGGTTTTATTAGGGAACAGAGAACAGATGACACCTCAGGATCAGGAAGCGTGTAGACAGTCTCCTTGCTTCCGTGGAGGACTGCTCTCAGGAAGTTCCTTACTGCCTCTCTCTGCTGTTCTTCCTGTCTCCCTACCTCTGTGGTGGCTGGCTGCTTAAATGCACAAACTTGTCAGTTTTGACATGACACTCCCACTAGGGCTGTAGACTGACCCATCCCCTCAGTAGGCCAAATACACTCATTTGCATAGTCATATTGACCAATCCCTGCAAGGTGCCACCTAGGACCAGATCAGGCCAAATTGTTTACAACCTACTTAGGAAATGTCCATCAACCTGGGCAAAAGTAACAGGTCCTCTGAAGTAAAAAAATTAAGGTAAAGAGGGAAAATCAGAGCTAGGAGGGAAATCTCTCTAGCTGTTTTTCCTACAGAAACAAAACAAAAGGCCACATAATGGAACTAATTTCACCACATATGTCTGCCTTGCCAAAATAAAACTGCAATCTAGATGCCTACCTTTGAGCACGGTTATGCCCCTACAAGCCTTCAAGAAATACTTCATTTGTGATAAAATGAAATTGTTGGTACAAGTTACAGCCACCCTTCTCTTTCTCCCATCGGCATACGAGGGGCTTCAAAATGGGATGAAATCATACGGTGTCTTACCAGTCATGTCAACATTTTATCCTGTTAAACTGACAGGACCCATAAAGAACTGATTAGTAATTTTTTGGTCTTCATAGCTTAAAAGTTTGCACATTGTTTTCAGAGATGGGAGAAATTACCAGTATCAATGAGTTCGGTCATTTTTATCATTAGTTCATTTTAACTATATTTGTACAATTGTCTTCCAAAGAAATTTCTGTGGGGTCCTGGTATTTTTAATCAACTGGTTATTTACAAGTTTCAACTATAAATTGAAAACTCCTAATTAACTAAGAGGATGTTTGCTGTATCACAGAAAACTGAAATGAGTGCCTACCATGTTCCAGCCACAGGTCATTGTTAAAGTTGACATAGTTACCATCGTAGTTATATTATAAAGTAAAAGGTTTGGGTATCTGACACTTCAAAATGTCTTGCTAACTTTCATTTTTTTAACCATTTTTTCCTCAGAAACTCACAATCTGCCAAAGCAACCTCCACTCGCCCTAGCCATGGGACAGGCCACACAATGTCTAGGACTGATGGCTCGATCCGGAATTGGATCTTGTGCATTTGCCACAGTGGAAGACTACCTACATTAGCTATGCAGTTACAGAGCTCAAACTTGTATTGGGGCACATAGTCAACATGGAAGTAGACCCGCCCCGCTGATTTGAAATGTAGATGTTAATTATGTACTGGGGACAGGTTTCTGTCGCTTTACATCGCTTCCTAGTTTACAGCATGATGCAAATGATTTTCTAACTTAGTGTTAGGAGAAACTCTTTTCCATCTTTAACCTCTTAGTTGTCTAAGAGTTTAATATTACTGAATTTCAGACGTTCAAATTGATCATCACAAATCCTTGAAAAACAATTACCTAAAAGAAACCAAAAAATCCTGCCTTCTTTGTAGGGGGGAGAAGGGGTAAGGAAATGGAACACGTTGTGTTTGTGTTAGCATGTGAGTGATGTAAACTTCAAATTGGGAGATGTTCCGACCCCCACTCCCATATTAAGCATTCAATCAGTGTAACTTGCAAAATGCAGAAACATCCGACAGTTTGAATTTATCGTGTTGATGGAAGAAATCATTTTTAATGTGTACTGTAAAACTTGAAAATACTCAGGAGCTGAGTGAATCTGTTTGTTGCTACTTACAATCCCGACCTGTTAGTCCCAGTAGTTTTGTTTTAACATGGTCTTATTCAACTTTGTTTCCTGTTGAACTACAGACGACTTCTGTTGTAGACTCACAAGTTTAACTGTTGTATTATAACAGTATTACATGTCAACAGTGTGGTTATGACCTTTATTTATATAAAAACCAAATATTTAGTCAATTTACCGTGTCTTAATTTAATCTTTGTACACCTTCCATTTTTAAGTGCTTAAATGAGTACTATATTGCAATAAAAATGTAGTGATATAATTAACCAGCCATTAAAAATTTACTTCTACAGATTTTAGTGTCAGTTGAGTTTATATTAGGTATTTGTTCATTTCCTATAATATAAAATTAGAGCAATTAAAATGGATAGTTTTCTATTAATACGAACTCTGCAACCTAAGACTGCCTTCAGTTTACTAGCCTCCCTATTGGGGGAATTAGGGTCAAATGTGATACAATGGGTGATACAGAAAGACAAGATTATTTTCAGTCATGGACTCAAAATTAAGCAAACCAGTTAACAGGAAACCTTTAAGTATCCTCAGGGCTTTCCATTATTACTACAAAGCAAAATTTCAGAAACAAATCCTCATTAACAACCGAGGGCATCTGAGAGCTGCAACTGGAAGACTCTTCCTGGAGAGCCACTTCTACTGTGCTGCCCACAGCGAGGTGGGAAGGGGGACAGAGACGTGATGTCGTCACTGCCATGTGTATTCCTTTGAATGGATGAACACTTGTAAGAAGAAAACGCAACTCATTCCAACTGCTTTTTCTTTCTGGACCCTCTAAGTCTGCAAGTCATGGTTGTACTCCAGAAGGGAGACGTGTGGCTTCCCCAGACACATAGGTTTATGATTTTCATAACAACTCGTTGAAGTGAATCATGAATGCTTTATTAGTTTTTTCCCCCCAGCAAAATTAACCCTCTCGATTAAATAAGGGAGTGGTTCTTTTTCTAGCTCCCATTTCGTTTCCCAGATGCTTTCATCTTTCTGAACATCCACCGTCTTTTAAACCTCTTGGCATTTTGTTTTTTCTGGGCTCCTAAAATAGAAAGTTGTGTGCAGTAAGAATATTAGAGAGATAAAATTCCCAGGACACATCATTCAAAATACTTTGTAAAGATTCCTGGCTTTACTTCACGTAAATACTAAAGATAGGTTTATGGGGTTAGATGAACAGCGTACACCTGTCTCACATGACCTGCTTCCCATAAACACAGAGGTCATTATAAAGAAAATGTTATATGATCCCCACTATCTCAGCATTGAACCTAGTCCCACAACCAGAACCAAGAAAATAGAGCTGATCTTACCCCAAGTATTATTTAAGAACTGAGCTGCAGCCTTTTTCACTGGCAACCTCTTATTGGCAAGAGACAGGAACTTATTTACTAGGAAAAAAAAACAACCATGTTTATCATTTCTTTATCTTACTTGCAGTGAGTAGAAACTGAGAAAATGGTACATAAGGAGGAGCTTACCAGTAGTCCTGTTGGTTCCTGGACCATATAAAGAATTCTGTATGAAGGCTTTGGCTGCTTGTTGCCTTGAATCTCTCTGATCTTGGTCTTTGAGCCTTACAGCCACATAACTTTTATTCTGGCTGGACAGACCAAAAGGAATTGAGGTTGATACTTGCTTATGCTGAATGTATTTCTGTAAGATAGTCAATTCTACTTATTTAGAGTGCTACATGAACCCCCCAAATTCACTGCCACTGAGCTGACTCTGTAAAAGGTTTCCAAGGCTGTTTATAGAAGCAGAAAGCCTTTTTTCTCCCATAAAGCGGCTGGTGGGTTTGAACTGCTGACCTTGCAGTTAGCAGCCTACTGCCTACCCTACAGTGCTACCCAGGCTCCTTATATGAACAAAAGATAACCCTTCTTACCTGACAGACTGTACTTTTTGTACTTTAGCTTTCTTAGAATCACTTCCTTTTCCATGTTCTTCATTTTTCTTTTGCAAATTAACTAAAAAAGTAAGTTACATTTTCTAATCAGCATTATACAAAAGCACACTGGTACTCTTTACTAAAACTCACTGTAAATATCTACTGTACACTAACTTGAATGTGATTTTATTTGTTAGAAACCCGGGAAACAGGCTTGAGTTTTCCTTGGCCCGGCCTATGAGCTAATACGATGTGACTAAAAACACCTACAAATGTACTGCTCTCTTACATGGAACATTATTTAACAACAGAATATTCCATACCTTCTTTCAACTTTCCTGGTGACTGTTTTATACTAAGAACAAAAAAACAAACACTGATTAGAATGACAAACAGCAAATTGATAAAAAATACATTGAATGCCTTCACCTGGTTTTACAAAAGATCTTTCAGATCACCATCCTCAGCTTTACTTAGTATCTTTAATCAGTTTCTGAAAAGCAAAAGTCATTTCTCATCTCTGCCTCCACCTCTCAGTCAACAAACTAGTTGATCAGAATTTATAATCTGGAAGCAGATATACTATTAGATATAATAGTAATAGGCCTATACCACCCTCTTCCCAAAATTGCTCTGGTTAATGGACTGAAGTCTTAACAAAAGGTCACATAACACAGTATTTTAAGTAAGTAAAAGCAAAAGCTTTTAAAACGTGAATAGTAGTAGGTCTGTCTCCTTTTCTTTGGAGAAATGACAAAGGATTCATTTAACGGTTTTGACACAGAAGACAAGGACCAGCTTCAATAGTCTAGTGAGACAAATGTAGGCTACACAAAGAGGAAGTGATGGGGGAGGGAAAGAAGTAGTACCACTGAAGCTTGGCTTTGAAAGATGGAGAATTTGCCACCAAATAGACTTGGTTGGTTATCCAGATAATATATCTAGAACCTTAACAAACCTTTCGGATAGTGCCTTTAAAGAGTTCATTTACTAAAAATTTGAAAACTAGTGACCTACCTAAAGTGTTAATTAGGTCAAATACTTTCTTTCTACCCCATGTCCCCAGCAATTCTTAAATTGTATGCATCCACATTAATGTTTGTACCAGTCTATAATTTCAAAGATGATGTGTGTAAGCAAGTATTAAGAGCCATTAACTTACCTTGTTTGGGGAGCTGTAGTTAACTTTTCTAGAATAGCATCTGGAAGGAGTTTTCTTTTCTTAGAATAAGAAACATTTAAAAATCAATAAAAGGAAAGTACATGACATCGTCAGTGGTTGCTCCTGAAATGACAGATTTGAAGACCAGCCCTACATCTGGGCAAATAAGTTGAATACTATCCTCTAGTATCTCTAAGGTGTTGGATGACCGGGTCCATCACAATCTTTGAAAAGCTGACAGACCTATTTCACAGTAAGTCATGCCTATCAGTAGTCCCAGACATGGGCAGTACTTCTGTAACCAGTCTGCATGGGAGGGCTAAGCAATCACGTTTGTGTAGCTCATTTACAAAGCACTTGATTTAATTTTCACAGCAACCTGTTACATGCTCTTCCATTGGTTGGTACTCAGAGCGACCCTATGCACAACAGGACACTGTCGGGTCCTGCGCCATTCCACAAGTGTCATGTCTGAGCCCACTGTTGCTGCCACGACGTCAATCCCTCCTGTTGAGGGTCTTCCTCTTTCTGCTGGCCCTCCGCTTTGCCAAGCATGATGTAGTTTCACATCAAGTAAGATCACGGCGAGCCTCGAGCCGTCCTAAATTAGCAGGGGAGCCCTGGTGTGGTGCTGCGGGTTAATCTGCTGGACTGTAAAGTAGGTTTGAGCCACAGGTCGGCAATTCAAGCTCACCAGTTGCTCCTCGGAAACTCTATACAGGGTCGCTATGGGTCGAAACCAGCGCGACGGCACTTAACAACGAAAGTTAGCAGGGTTGAGCATCTAACCCTCTCTGATTTCAAATTCGCCCCTCTTTCCACCCCCGTCTGCAATGGGCAGCAATGGCACGAGCATCTTCTCACGTTAATGACTTGTCCCCACCCCAAGATGCCCGCAGTCCAAATGGGATCAAACGTGCGAGTTCTACCTCGAGCCGTGCTGTCTTCAACATGAGACGTCTCCCCACTTTCTAACTAACCTTCTGTTCGATGAACAGCTCCTCGCGTCGCTTCCTCTTCTCTTTCAGGAGACTTTTATCCCTGGGAGAGAGGATAACAGTCAGCTCAGGGAGAGACACGCGGGGCGGGGAGGGCAGTGAACCGGCCGCGGGCTCCCAACCTGCGCACGGTCTCCCGCACTCGCCGCTCCTCTTCTCGCGCTTCCGCCTGGGCGCTGGCGAAAGTCAGCTCCTCCGGGGCCTCGTCGTCAAACTCGTCGTCCCCTTCCTCGTCTTCCTCCAGCGGCTCGGCGGCCGCACCGCTACTGGGCTGTCCCAGCAGCAGGCCGTGCTCCGCCTCCTCCTCCGAGGCCGGCTGGCCTTCGTCCACCATCGCCTCCGCTGACACCGGAGTACGAGATGCGCGTTGCCTTAGTTGCACCATAGTTACTGCAGCGCTGGGCCGTCTGACCTCTGACCCGGAATCAGTTCTCAAAACCAGTAGATTTGAGAAACCAAGTCACACGAGATTTCTTCGCCCCCTGCAGGTGGGGCGGTCCCTCTGAGCTGCGAGACTAGGAGGCACAGTCTCGCATGCGCAGAGCGAGAAGGGGCGTGAGTTAAGGGATGTGGGCGGGGCCGGGAGTGCGCTGGAGCCGTCTTGGCCCGACGCAGACAGTTCTGTTGAGACTCGGGAGATTGGGCGTTTTGTTTCACTGCCTGGGCGATCCCTTGTGCTGCCCCTGGACTAGATGCCGACAGCAGCGTTGATCCCCTCGCTCCTGGAGACCGGCTAGCTCAGAAACCCAGTCTCCGCGCGTTCTCGACGCTGTGTCTCCTTGTTAACAGTGGAATTCAGCTTGGTCCATCTCCCCCAAGAAGCAGTCACAAAGGGAAGAAATGCTCTGGGACTAAAGGACACAGCTTGCTGACGTCTTGTCATCAGCGATAAACAAGTTCGACAGGACCTGTGGTGGTACCTAGGCCGGGGTCCTAAGAGTGAGAGCCAGCTCCACCACAGCACACAACCACCACCAATATCACCTGTTTGCCCTTTAATGTTATGTAGGTAAGTTTATTCCACTTTTGAAACTGTCTGTTGCTGCCTTGCTGCTTGGAAATCACTGAAGAGGCTTCTAGCCTTTTGAGTACTGAGCAGACTCACTCTTAGGACCCCGTAGGGCTTCTGAGGCTGTCCATCTTTACAGAAGTTCTGACGTAGTGCCCCAGGATAAGCACTGGACCTCAAGTCAGTTTGAACACAGTCGGCAGGTCAAACTCCCACACTGCTCCTTGGAAACCCTATACAAGGTTGCTCTAAGTCAGAACCGGCTCAATAGCACTCACCAACAACAACACATCTTTACAGGAGTAGAAACGCTCATTTTCCTTCCACTGAGCAGCTATTAGACTGCAACAACTGACCTGGCAGTCAGCAGCCCAATGCCTAATGTACTATACCCAAACTGCCTGCTTGCCCACACAAAGGACCTTGGGTTTGGGATTTATTAAAGGTAATAATTTGTTCCACGGGAGAAAGATGAGGCTTTCTGCTCCCATAAAGATTTATAGCCTCGGAAACCCTGTACAGGGTCGCTATGAGTCAGAACCGACTCCACGGCACATAACAACAACAACAACAATAATTTGCAAACAAAGTCTGAAGCTTTCAGTGAAAATTCAGAGTCATCTAAGAGCCCTGATGGCATTCTGGGTAGACACTGTTTTCATGTTCAAACCCACCAGCTGCTCAGTGGGAGAAAGATGAGGCTGTCTGAAACCCTGAAGGTTTACAGTCTCGGAAACCCTAAATGGAACCAACCCTATGAGTTGGAATTGACCTGAGAGTACTGGGTTTGGGATTTTATTTACACAAAAGCCACGGGGGGTAACACTGAATGCATTTTTCAAGGCCTGAGGTGATGTGGCCCAAGTGCATTATCACCCACCCATCCAGAACCAGGGGCCTAGTTCTGTACGACCTTCATACATTGTAGCTAAAGTCACTGCACACCAGCAGGCCTTTGGTGTCGGAAGGCCTTCTAAGAGCTCTAGCTGCTGTGTGGACACAGCCAGATTCCTCCAAAATCAAACTCTAAGGCAGTAAGCACGATGTTCTGTACAGTCTAATGGGAAAGTTCCCTGCGAAGACTGCTTCTGCGCAGATGATATTGCGAAACAATATCACCGTTTCCCTCCCTGGATGCTAAGAAGCCCAGAGCTAATGTTTAGGAAGCTGGGTTTATCCTTGGGTTCTATATATTGAAATTCTTCTCATCTTCTCATTTCTACCTTGGTTCTCTTCTGTTTCTTCCTTGCATGAGTTCTGGTACGGTCATCCATATTCCTTGAGGAAAAGCAACCAAGTCAGGTAAATACGGAAAAGCAGCAGCAGCTGACAAAGACATCTCGTGGGTTAACAACTTTATAAAATAAATTACCAACTCCATGGAATGATTTTTATTTTCCACAAAAACTTGTGCAAAAATCAGATGAAAGAATAAAAGCATTTATCTCCTTTGCTTCAATCTTTGCTCAAAT